CTTGGAAAATCTCCCAAGGGAGGCATCCAGGAAACATCGGAAATAGATGCCCGAGCCACCTCATCTGACTCCCCTCGATGTGAAGGAGGAGCCGTTCTACTCTGAGCCTCTCCCGAATGACTGAGGCTTTAAGTGTCCTTTTCAGTTTCCGCTGCTCTCTTTCTAAAACAGTGTTTTACAAGCTTAGATTATGTGTTTTAAAAGCTCAGCGATATCTCATTGAATATTTTAACAAATAAAAATTGAGTTCATCCATATAGAATAAACTTAAAAAAAAGGTTGAATGAATGTGTATTAATATTTTTATTCAAATATTCATATTAGTAGTTTCAATTTTTAATTAGTTAAAGAAGAAATGTGCCCCTTTAAAAACAATAAATTTGTGTGCATAAAAATGTCACCATAGAAATGCTAAAAATAAGTGTTCAGCTGCATTGAAGCCTGTTGTAGAAGGCCCATTTGCACCATTCTTAAACTGAGAAACACAACACTTCCAGGGCCTTCAAACATGGGCAACATTTTGGACACCTCTGTTCTAAAGCCTTCTTTGATGCAACCGGACTTTTTTCCTTGACAATTCTTCTTTCAGCTTCTCTATCATAGCAGAAATCATTTCCAACACGAATCGCCATTTGAATGCAAAGTGAAAATGGTCAAATTTTTCTATGAAGTCAACAGAAACAAGACAAGAATACAAAGATTTATCTTTGAGATGCTATCGAATGCTGACAACACGATGAATAATTGTTTTTATGAAATTAAGACTTAAATGCATTTCATTTATTTTCTTTCACTGTGAAAACATAAATGTTTGTTCTTTTGGGTTTTCTTTCAGCGAGTCACATCCTTAACACGAAGACACATGTGGCTAAAAGAAATGTGCAGTTATTTTCACTATGGAGACAAACACACACAGAACAGTATAAGAATATTCCAACAGGGAGTCAGAAAACCTGACAGCATTGCCTACACAGATAATAATAGCTTTGAACCATTGCCTGCGTGCTTCTGCTTGTGTTTCTGTGTATGCACAAATGTATGTATGCATGCGGACTAGCAGACACTCGGACTGGCAGACAAAGACTCTTTGTTGATGCTATATTCTGGAGGCACCTTACAGTCACTGGTTCCTGTTGCTGAAGGGTTTAACAGGAAAACAAAAATGTATGCCTTTAAATTAAACAAATTTGTATGAAACAGGAAAACAAAAATGTATGCCTTTAAATTAAACAAATTTGTATGAAATGTGGAAATTCTGTATCTGAAAAAGACCTACAGACGCCTGATCAGACATCAAGACTGCAGAACCTTGCAAATAGATTCATGCCCCTTTTATTTTTGCATATTTTAACCTCCATGCATCTTCAAATATGTCTGCTTATCTCACTTTCCCTCTTTAGGACAATCATGATTTTTCACAGTGAGAGTGTGAATTTTCAGGGTAAAACAATGCATTAGCACATGTTTTCCACCATGTCTTCCATTTCACATTTGCCAAATTGTTTGGATTTTCATCTCATTTGACCAGAAAAACTTCTTTATCATTGCCATGTTCCCTGCATGGTTTTCGGACAACTGCAAACAGGATTTCTTGAAGCTTTTATTTCAGAAATTGTTTTCTTCCTTCACTGCCAGATTTATATAAGTGCGCAAAATAATTCGACTCACCTGATATGTAAATCTCAGTTGCTCCAAACTTACCATTTTGCTGATTCTGATTCATGCTCTTCTTATCTGATTAGGTGGACATACATCTCAGAGCCACCCTCTGCTCTCAGATGATGAATTATGTAAATAATCAAAGCTTTGAAAATTATTTTGTAACCTTACCTTGTCTTAAACTTTTCTAAACCTTCATCCCTGACCTTTTAATGCCAGCAAAATCTCAAGAAAATACACTAAAATGTCTTTATTTACTCAACAAAAAATGTACTTTTGCAGAAACATTTCATGACAGAAGGAAGATAACATAGTTATCTCACTAGTATAAGTGCAAAAGTGTATTTTTTGTGAAAAAAGAAGTAGATCAATTAAGGGTGTAAAAATATGCAACACATGAGAGGAAGGTTGGTCTGTTAGAAGGAGTGAAATCAGATTCACAGAAGGATCTTTCAGCAGCTTTCTTCATGCTTCTTAAGGCTGAGTGTCCAGATGTGCAGCACTCATAAGGTGGAGCTGTTTTCACCCGTGACGGTATTATTAACCACACATGGTAACTTCTAATCAGGTTTTAACAAGCAGCCACATGATGCATTATTCAACCGCTGGTTGTGGCAACAGAATTACTGTTTGCCTCATTAGAAATAAGAAACAGCGTTAGGAAAAAATCTATTAGATTAGCCTAACAAGCAGACTGAAGATCAAAACCTGACATGATGATGTCATCTCTCTACAGCTGGAAAAAAATGAATAGAAAAAAGAAAATGAGAAATCTACTGCAGTACAAATTCCTCTGGTCATGGTTGGAGAAAATTTCTGCTTCTTACAAAGAGAGTTAAATGATTTTTCAGTGCCAGCTGGATTTCGGGAAATCTCATTAAAACCATTTGGTAAGAAAGAATAAATACTTTTTAAAAAAGGTTGAATTATTTTGTTGAAAAGCAGAATAAATGTCTGAAAGTTCAGATTATATTATAATTCTGTTTTAAAAGTATTGTGACTGACTGTTGCTACCTGGAAAGCTTATCATGGTGGTTCACCTGACATTCTGTTATATAAATAGTATAATAATATAAAATAGTCTAAGATGAAACTATCTCACACAGCGTAGCTGCCAGCTGCTCTATAGAATGTCATATTCTAATAGAAACAGAATATTATGTTCCATTAGTAAGATCCATGCTCTCTGGAATTCAAGTTGTCAGAAGAGGCGAAGGGGCTGCAACAGAGTGCTACTTGTGACGATTTGAGCAGACGATTTTAATAATTGAATCTGATGAAGTATTTTATCCCCCATTAACATCTAAAAAGGTATGACAAAGCAGGCAACAAAACTCTAATAAATAAAATATATTATTTCCCTCTGTTTAATCAGAACTCTTCCTCACCCATCGCGGGCGGTCTTCCACCCTTTTTTTTCTCCAAGCTTGGGTCCTCTACCAGAGGCCTGGGAGCTTGAGGGTTCTGCACAATATCTTTGCTGTTCCTAGAACTGCACTCTTCTGTACTGAGATGTCTGATGGTTTTCCAGGGATCTGCTGTAACCACTCCTCCAGTTTGGGGGTCGAAGCCCCGAGGGCCACAATGACTATGGGTACCACTGATGCTTTGACCTTCCGGGTTTTCTCCAGCTCTTTTCTGAGCCCCTGGTATTTCTCTAGTTTCTCATGCTGATGTTACAGTCTCTTGGTATTGCTATGACAACCACAAGGGCTTTCTTCTGCTTTTTGTCTACCACCACAATGTCCGTTGGGTTTGCCATTACGGTTCTGTCCATCTGTATCTGGAAGTCTCACAGGATCTTGGCTTGATCATTCTCTACCATCTTTGGGGGTGTTTCCCACTTTGACCTTGGGGTTTCCAGCCCATACTCTGCACAGATGTTCCTGTATACTATTCCAGCATTTAAAAGTGTACATTTCACTTCTAAATAGCTCAATACGTCGGTTATATATTTGAGGAAAGACACAGATGAAGAATCCAACGATTTATTAAAGATTAGAGGTAATAACTATGTAATTACCAATACTTATCAAGCAATGTTGTCTAACTGCTGTACAATGGAAGATCCTGTTTCTAAGCTCCAAAGTATTTGATATAACTCTAGTGTCAATTGTTATTAATTAGCGTTATAAATTTCTGGAAAAAAAGTATTTTTTTGTCAAATCCTGAATTCAAATCGTAATTAACAAAAAAAAATTGCAATGAAAAATTATGAAATGCCAGTACAAGTGCATTTTTGAGCTTCAACATAGTATTCAAAATAATCAGCTACTTCTACGTGGATGGTGATATAAGCAGCTCCATGCAGCACCGCTTCTAAAAGCCATCATGGTGATTAAGACCCTAAACTAACTCTGGGTCTGCATCTGTGGAGGTTCTGCGCTTTATGTTCAGTAGCACAGTGTTAATTAAAGCACTAGACAATCAAATAATACCTTCAGGCTTGAATACACATCAATATGTAAAAAAAACAAATAAAAAAAAACAACCAAAATAAATACCCCTAAAACACACTAATTAGAGAAGCTTGTGATTCAAAACAAGCATTCATTGCATCCAGAGTAAACATTGGCCAGATCCTAAGATTTCTTGCTTTTATTGAAGCTTAGCTCTGACAAACAGAAACTTTAATGTGACACAGACCCACATGGGGATGGCATCAAGTCAGACGGTGACATGACAATGATCCTAATTTATTATTTTATGATCCTTACTTATTAAATTACTTTTCTGTAGGTTCAAAGCATATAAACAGAGTGGCAAAATATACTGTAGCAAATTAATCATCACAAGCACAACTTTTAAGATTCTGATTTAAATTGAGAAATTGCTTTATTCTGTTAAGACCTTGTTTTGATTAAATTAGTTAATTTTTTTAGGTTGAAACACAGCAGAGTTGAGTGATTTTTGTGCAAGAAAAATGACCCCAAAACTTTACTATGTTGTCATATAATTAGACTCTCTCATTGCTTAAAACCCAGTTCTAAAACATACCAGAAGTAGGTGTATGTCAACTTCTGAATTTTTATATTTTCATTCGCTTAGATTATCTAATATTAGTCTAGTAATTAAAAAATATCTTGATTAATTACTTAAACCTGAAAGCCTTTGAAACTAGAAAACTTTATTATTTTCTAGCGTTTAATCGAAGACAAACTCTCCAATAATCCTTTGGATAAGTGTGGTTTTAAATTCGCAAGTGAAAACCACAGAAAAAAGTTAGTCCGCCCAACGTGGGGCTCGAACCCACGACCCTGAGATTAAGAGTCTCATGCTCTACCGACTGAACTAGCCGGGCTGTGACCGCGATGGAAGACAGTACGTTTATGAACCAGTACACACACTATAGGTCGTCGCATGGTTTTGTCGTTTTCTATATTCTTGCCCTGTTTCGTGACGCCATCTTTAGTCGACAAGAAACGATGGTAAGTGAGCAAGCAATTTTTGTTGCGGCTTATAAATGTATAATTTTTGTTTCTTTTACAGAGTGTGACTTCACTTTTGGCGTCGAAATGAACGCCGCGTTGTAACTATTAATAGCTCCGTGTTTTATCTGTGCAACAATAAGTAAGGTTAAAGGCAGCGTTTAGTGATTTTGCCTAAAGCTAGGCACATTAGCTTCTTAGCTTTCAGAATTTGTATTTCTCATTTTTTTCACCAAGTTATTCTGTATGGAAATATAAACCATATTCGTTTGTTTTCTGTTTGTATACATGATACTTGCAGGGCGTTCTTATTGTTCCCTTTCGACAAATTAAAAGCTGAATTGTCCGCTGCTGACTTTGTAGGTAGCAGCAACGAGCTAACATTTGAACGGAAAACATTGTTGAAAACAATACAGCATCATCAGCTATCACCTAAAGCTTATTTATTGTTTAATTAAAACCTGTTTATATTTCTAGGGTCAAAGTCAGAGTGGAGGCCATGGTCCAGGAGGAGGCAAGAAGGATGACAAGGTGACTTTTTCTTTCGAGGGTTTCTACATCTGAATATATTTCAAATTCCCCTAAACAGCTGAAAACAGAACAAAGTATCTGGTTATCTTTAATCAAGAGCAATTTCTTAACTATCCATGTTAAAAAATTTTGCATTTCTTCATGGAAAAAACATAAACATGTAAATACAGTTGCATTGAGTCAAAATTTAAATGAGTCATATATCTAGTAAAAGCACAATATTTACTTAGATAGAAATAAAAGTCAAATAAAGTCTAAGCTGTAGGTCTTTTGAAAAGGTTTGCTAGATTTGGTGTAGTTCACTGATTGTCAACAATTTTAAAACTGCTTCTGTGTGATTAATTGTATCTTAATTTTTGCCTATTATTTAAAAAAAGTTGTCAGGCAGTTAAAAAATAAATTAAGTGGAATATAACAGATGCTTCTCATGAAATTTTAATATTTTTTAAAAGGTGATTTATGTGATTCAAATAAAAAAACTAATCTAGCACATTCTAATGATTTCTAATACATAAATTGATAAAAAATTTCAATTGTATTCGTATTTATGGTCATAGCTACCAGCTAATAACTCAATAATAAATTTCATAAAGCACAAAACGATATCAGTGAGGGGAAAATAACAGATATGCAACTTCATTCTTTCTGAAGAATTTGGTCAACACAGATCCTTCTTGGTCTTAAAACCTGCAACATGCTTCAATACAAGAACAACAGTAGAAAACAGTTGATTCAATCTTTGTTATTGAGCTAGCACAAAAAAGTTAATGCAGTTCTTACTGTGAGAATCATATAAAATAATGAAAAGGACCATCTATGTGAAAGGTTGAATAAAAGAAATACCGTATTTTCATGACTATAAGGCGCACTTAAACGTCTTTTTTTTCCCTCAAAATGTGCGGTGCGCCCTATGGTGCGGTGCGCCCTATGTGTGTTGTAACTGCGACTTTTGAGACCACCTCATTGAGGAGATGATGAAAGAGTGGCTGAATGTAAGGAGACCAGGTGTTTTTTTTCCACTCATCACCATCGCTGTTAATATGTGACTCCATGCGTGCCCATCTCACAGCTGATGTGAAAAACATGGGGAAACAAATTAACGCTGTGCTCGCTGTTCAACCGCTCGACATCGGTGTGAACCGGACCCAGCAGGTGCAGCAGAAGCAGCGAGTTTACATGCAAAGTCAATGGTTGACGCGCGTATAGGTGCAGCAAAAAGCGCGTTTTGAGCAGCAGCCGCAGCGCCTCGGGAGCGTTTTAAGTATCTGACGCACCGCCAACGCGCTGCTGCTGCTCGAGATGGAAAAATTGAAGTTTTGCTGCTGGACGCGCCGCATCAACCAATCAGAGAAGCTGATCTGGGAGCTGACAGCGAGACAGACACAGCGCTCTGATGACATTAACGCAAATGAAAAAGGCTGGAGATGATGAAAGGCAGGTGTATGTGAGGAGACCAGGTGCTTTTTTCCACGCATCACCATCGCTGCGTGCCCATCTCACAGCCGATGTGGAAAAAAAAAGGTGAATCAAATGAACGCTGTGCTCGCCGTTATCCCGGGGGGTCTGACAGAGGAACTTCAACCGCTCGACACTCAGTGTGAAGCGGCCGTTCAAAGTAAGGCTGCGAGCGGCGTGGGAGCGATGGATGACAGACGGAGAGCACAGTTTCAGGATAAGTGGAAGGCAGCGCCGGGCAGATTACGCCACCGTTTGCGGATGGATTGTAGATGCTTGGACTAACTTGTCTGCTGGCTCTGTTGTTCAAGCTTTTGCAAAAGCCGGCATTATTTCTGAGGAGCTGCGCTGCACGGAAAGTGACTCTGACAGCGAAGAAGGGGAAACTGGCATGTCTGATTTAGCGCAGCTGTTAAATTCAGAAACAGAGGAGGATGACTTTGATGGGTTTGATTAATACTTTGTAATAAATACATGAATAAAGCACAATCATACTCAGTTTTGCTCCCGCTCTATTTTCCTACCTGAAAACTTAATTCAACAGCAGCCTCTGGGCGGGTCTCCTCCTCTTCACCGCGGTGGCTGGCAGGTGTTTTTTCATCTAAATAATCTAAATCTTGCAGCTATATTTGCTGTGATCAGTGGGAATAAAGTAGTTTTAATATGTTTTTAAGTGAGAAAGGCCACCTGAAAACTTAATTGCAGTCAGTTCATCCAGATTATCTATTTCTGTCGGAGGCGCTCAGACCCCCACATACCAGCGGTGCACCGACAGCAGAAATCCATTCAACAGCAGCCTCACCGCGGCTGCTGGCAGGTGTTTTTCATCTAAATAATTTAAACTGCAGGCACCAGGATACCGGCAATAAAAGCGAACATATTCCGTCGGCAGGTTTCAGGATTTTAAGTTAATTTAGGAGTGACCACAGCGCTGTGTCATCTGCGATGTGTCTGTCTCACGGCCAGCTGCCAGGTTTGATTAATACTTTGTAATAAATACATGAATAAAGCACAGTCATACTCAGTTTTGGGCCCGCTGTATTTTTAAAATACGCAGTAGAGCTATTTAAAGGTAGTAGAGGACATGTACCTGTATATAAAAAACGCGCCCTATAGTCCGGTGCGCCTTATGTGTGTGTTAAATACAGAAGTGGCACACATGACTGAGACTGCGCCTTTTAGTACGGTGCGCCTTATGGTCGTGAAAATACGGTATGTCTTTACATAAAATAATTGGGTAAAAAATATGAAAGGCTTTTGAAAACTTCTCAACTGCCTGGTAAATTATAATTAATACCTTATTAGTTCAGCCATTTAATACTCTAAGCTGTCCTTTTTCTGTTTGAAGGATAAGAAGAAGAAGTATGAACCTCCCATTCCCACCAGAGTGGGCAAAAAGAAGAAGAAGACAAAGGGTCCCGACGCCGCTAGCAAACTTCCACTCGGTAAAGAGGCAATGAAACACACAGACCAACTGATCTGACAGTATTTCTCTTTCTTGCAATCTGTGCCAAAGCCTGACAATAAAATGTTAAAGGCATCATGTCTGCAAAAGAACAATAAAAGCCCAACTATTCAAAAGTTTTAAGGGGAAATGCTCTATTTAGTGATTTTTAACTGTTTAAAGCCCATGTCTGACTGGTGTTTTTATAAAATACAGTTTAAGTAACTGACCTGTTTGTGTTTCAGTTACGCCTCACACTCAGTGCCGTCTAAAGCTGCTGAAGCAGGAACGGATTAAAGACTACCTGCTGATGGAGGAGGAGTTCATCAGGAACCAGGAGCAGATGAAGCCTCTAGAAGAGAAACAGGAGGTTAGCCTTCGATCTGACGCCCCTGTCTTTCTATCAAGTATGTTTGTCTCAAGTTTGCTTTTTTTTTTTTTTTGCTTCCTGCTATAACAGGAGGAAAGGTCAAAGGTGGACGATCTGCGAGGAACCCCCATGTCAGTAGGCACTCTGGAAGAAATCATTGATGACAACCACGCCATTGTGTCCACCTCAGTGGGATCAGAGCATTATGTCAGCATCCTGTCCTTTGTGGACAAAGACCTGCTGGAGCCTGGCTGCTCCGTCCTGCTAAACCACAAGGTGATGTTTGGCTAATACTTGGCTTACAGTTAGAAAAAAGGAAGTAATAATGCTAACTTAAAACAGTCATTCTCGCTCAGCTACACCAAACCAAGACTTCTGTGTTTCTAAAGAAAGTTATCCATGTTAAATACTTTTTTTAATGTTTTGCTGTAGGTTCATGCTGTGATTGGGGTTCTGATGGACGACACCGACCCCTTAGTGACTGTGATGAAAGTGGAAAAAGCTCCTCAAGAAACCTACGCTGACATAGGCGGACTGGACAATCAGATCCAGGAGATTAAGGTATAGCATGAAAAACTTATGAACACTTCTTTTAAAAGATCAGTATGAGCTGTTTTTGTTTTTACTTATCTGGTTAAGGCCTTTTTTTGAAACTCATTCCATTTAGATAAAAAATATATATATATATTTCATTCAGATGGTCGCATTAAGCTAAACTGCCTCTTGCATGACTACACTGATTCTAACTTTGGGGTTCCTCCTGCTGTGGGCTCTGGCTTTAAATATTGCCCAAAGTCTTCAATACTAGCAGCCACATCAGTAACAATTGACATGCCTTAGCAGGTTTAGGCACAAGGAAATAATTGGAGTCGGTTTTAACCTTTAAATTCTCCCAGATTTTTTCTATTTTAAATTCTCTATTCCTAATTTTGATGCCCACTCTGCCGAACTGAAATAAGAACTGAACGAACGAACTCATTTTATATTTTATTTTATTTGGGATCTGTTTCATGCGCCAAAACTCAAAAGCTGAACATCAGAGTATGAAATCTCATCATCCACAAAAGTGAAAAATCTCTACTTTCAGGTCTACCTGAGTGGAATTGAGGATGTTGGCTAATAAACTGCAACTGGTAGCTTTACCACATGAATGTTTCTCCAAGTGAGCGCTGCATTGAATAATTTTGGAACAAAATAAACAGAACTTATCTCCAGGATTCTCTGACTGCTAAGCTAGCTGTACCATCTCCCAAGGACACTCTAACTTTCACAATAAAAGCACTTCTTGTTCTGTTCATTTAATAGTTAAACACTAAGTTATGTACTCATTATCTAACATAAACCATAGTCAATGCAACATATAATTAGGAAATAGACATTATGGGCAATGGGGAGAAATAAAGAAAGTTGTTTATAAATTCATAAAGATTGAAAATAATCATCAAAATTGAATTCCTAACCTTCTCTCTAACCTGAGACCTGACTTGGACCTCGGGCCAGAGCTGAAAAAAAAATAAAAATACCTGTGAACATTTCTGCAGATGCAGATTTTCTTTACCTTTTAGCCTGACTCGTGTGTCTGCTTGGAAATTGTTTACCTATGTATATATTTTCAGTTTTCTTTGGTATCTGTGATTTTGCAGCTTCACATATGCTGGATTTTGTTTGGTCGGTTCTATTTATTTAAAATAAAAGTGTGTTTTATTTATTTTTTCTTCTTCTTTGGCTGCTGTTAGGAGTCTGTGGAGTTGCCACTCACACATCCTGAATACTACGAGGAGATGGGCATCAAGCCTCCCAAAGGGGTCATCCTTTATGGACCCCCTGGCACAGGTACGAATATTATCCCAACATATTTTTCCTTTTCTATAGCTGCTAACAAAACAAACCAACATGGAAGGTTTTTTTGAATTAGTAGCTGGTTTGAATGTATTAGCGTAACAGAAAGTCTACAGGAATAACAGGAGTACATTTTTTGCTAGGATGAAAATATCAAGGTGTAGCTGCAGTTAATGTCCTTTATAGCAGAGTATCTCACCTGGAGCAGGAAGATCTCTTGGCCTGCTGTTTTATTTTCCATCTATAATAAATTCTTGTTATTTACATGTTCCTCTTGGCTTATTACAAAGCCTGAGGAGTATTTCGTTCACCCATTCAGCTGTCTTGGAGCAGGAACATACCTAGAACCTGCAGAACCAGACTCTTTTAGTATTGGGCTTTAATTTTGATCAAATACTGTTTGGATCCAGTAATGAATCCTATCATTGGGACCTTGGTAAAGGGCACTGCAACATGAAAGGATGCAGCGTTATCGGCGCCCTGCAGGTTTGTAGATCCCACCATGAAGCGATCGCCTGAAAAGACAGAAAAAATATTCTGATACTTTGAGGAGTTATTAATTAAAAATAAGTTTGTTTTTTTTTTTAGACTAGAGGTGCAACCTTAACGGTAGCTGTTATCCAAGTGTTTTACTAATTCATAAAATAAGTCTGTGGCAAATTTAAATGTGTAACAACTAGATTTTTTTAATAAACCTGCTTCTTTAAAAGCTGATCTTTGAATTTTCTTCAGCCTTTTAGATCTTTGCTCACTGGAATAAATCTAGATAAGTATTTTTTTTCTTAATGTAAGTGCATTTGTTCTTGGATCGAGGAAGTAAAAGAGACATCTTGCCAATGGAACAAGACAATTTACACTTAAAATAGGAAAAGACAATTGCAATGTCTTCTTTCAAGTACATATTATCTATTATCTAATTTTAAAAGTAAAAATACTCATTCAATTGGCAAAATCTCTCATTTACCTACTCAAATTAAGGATAAATACACTTAATTGAAGACATTTTTTACTTATTTCTACATCATTTTTCCAGTGCATAGTTTTGTTCTATTGGTTAAACCGTCCTCCATGTATGTTTAGAGTTTGTGGCAAAACTATTTGAGCACAGATTATATTCTTATTCTATATTTCATTCTAGTGGTTTTGTATGAAATAGATAGACATATAAATATGATTGGAAAGTAGAATAAAAACCTTCCCTCTACGGTCTGTTCTGCAACCTTTTCCAGACTGAACAGTCCAGCTGTGTCGTTCAAAGCTGTTTTAATGCACCTCTGCTTTAAACTTCACATCTTTCTCACTTATGTTTTCCTTTGTCTTCTTGATGCTCATTTAATCACACAGAGGTGGACTAACTTAAAGGTTGATTTATTAGCTGATTTGTGAGGGTTTAAGCTGCTGTGTATAAACGGATGGACATTTATTGGTTAAAAATTTTTAAAATCACCTTTAAATCATGCACTGCTTTGTTTAAAAGAAACCCAACATATTGGTGTAAATCTCTATCCTGCCCGTCCCAGGCAAGACTCTGCTTGCCAAAGCTGTGGCCAATCAGACCTCAGCCACCTTCCTGCGCGTGGTTGGCTCGGAGCTGATCCAGAAGTACCTCGGAGACGGACCCAAGCTTGTGCGAGAGCTCTTCAGGGTGGCAGAGGAGCACGCCCCGTCCATCGTCTTCATCGACGAGATCGACGCCATCGGCACCAAGAGGTACGCAGGAGTTCAGCTTCACACTGACTCAGATTTGAACAGGGAGAGCGTCAGAGAGGTGATGATGAATCACCTGTGGCGCTGATACAGAGGTGTCTGATCAGTGTCATAACGCAGCATCTCTCAATAAATGCATCTGCATCCAATTTTACACAACACCCAGTGATATGCTGGAACAGGATGTTTTGTTTCATGATCTTAATGAAAATATGTTTCTATAAAATAGAAATATTCCTAAAAACCTTTTTGCATCTCATTCAGTGTTGTGGCCTCTTTTCTCCTGGATCACTTATTATGTAAACACCTGTCTTATATATAGCTGTAGAGTTAAGATTCCAAGGATCTTTAGATATACTTCACATCAGAAAAATTAGAAATATTTCTTTTAATAACTTTGATAAAAAGATGAATCGTCGGTTCGATGAATTATGGGTGAGGTTTTCTTGCACAGCCTCCCAGAAGAAGACAAGAAGTGATTGAATTGAATCTGGGTTAAGTAGGAGTTCAAGTACTGAAGTAGGGCTGCAGCTAACAATTGCTAATCGATTAATCTGTTGATTATTTTTTTGGATTAATAATCAGATAGCTTATAGGATAGGATCCTTAAAAAAGATTATTTTACAGAATTAAACCAAGTGAAAGTAAAACTTTTCGCCTTTAGGAGTTCTGGGGTAGAGCATATTAATGAACCCAGTTTTTTATCTTAAATACAAAATATTTATGAATTTCTTTGCAATTATGGTATAATTATTGCTCTAAGTGGGTCGCTCTGTCAGCTAAAGGCATATTGGAGAGTCTCTATACTCCAATTAAGCGATTAATTAATTACTAAGTTAGTTGATCATTATTTCAATAATCGATTCATCTGATTAATTCTTTCAGCCCGACACTGAAATGACATTATAGATTTGACCTCCTGGGTCACCTCGTACTAAATGAGGATTATAAAGAGATCGTTGAGTCCAGTCTGCTAGTAATTCTCTACATTTATTAAATACTAATGAAGAAGAAATGGTTATTAGAATTAAGCTTAAATTTAGGAGGTTTCTGATTAAGCAGCGTTTGTTGTTGGTGTTTCCAGGCATCTGCGCTCATGTTTTCAAATCAATGTCTCAGCTGCACATACGACACATTAAGGCCTCCATGTATAGTTGTTTTCTAAATGAAAGCAGCTAAAAGTCTCACTTTGTTGAAACTTTCTGCTGTCTATTGTGATTCATCTCTGCTCTGTGTTTGGTAGGTACGACTCGAACTCTGGGGGTGAAAGAGAGATCCAGAGGACCATGCTGGAGTTGCTCAACCAGCTGGACGGCTTCGATTCCCGGGGAGACGTCAAAGTGATCATGGCCACCAATCGGATAGAAACGCTGGACCCGGCCCTCATCCGACCCGGTCAGTCGGTATCAGATTGGCTTTGAGGCTGTCAGGGTTTGGCTGAGATCCTCTCTGCGCTCTTATAGCTGCAGTACAGTAAATCTGTCTGGCACGTAGGAAATGGCTCCATTCTGCTGAGTCATGGCAGGGAGGGGGAAATTGAAATGTCAAGTCCTTTTTCTTTCCTGCGTTTGGATGAGAATTTATAATGCAGATCCCTTAAGGCGCCACTCTTTAAACAAAGATTGTCACGTGTTGCAGGCATTACATTCACTTGACATTATCAACAGCTCTAGTTTTTATTTTCTTAAAAGAAAGAGGGGTTTATTTTTCTTTTTATGAAGTCTGCTCTATAAAACAGCCTAAATAATATTTAAATGATTCATACTTTTAAAATAAAAGAAAAAGCCTTGTAAAGGTGTTCTTTAATAATAATCCGTCAGGTTTTTCTCAAAGGCTCGGTGCAACCGAAGCTAATAGACACATCATGTACAAAAATATAGGGAGTAAGTTTTTGTTTTCCTCCTCTCACTCAGGGAGAATCGACAGAAAGATCGAGTTTCCTCTGCCGGATGAGAAGACCAAAAGAAGAATCTTCCAGATCCACACCAGCCGGATGACTGTAGCAGATGACGTCACCCTGGATGACCTCATCCTGGCAAAAGACGACTTATCAGGAGCAGACATTAAGGTGAGAACGTTTCAAAGAGTCTTCATTCATAATCTACTGTAAGGTTGCTGAAAGAAAAACACGCCTCACATTTATGCTCTGTCCCTTTTACTCAGCACCCCTAAATAAAGAGCCAGAACCAAAATGGAAACTTTTGGCCTATATTGAAAATAGATATCTGAAGTTGGTACTTCTGCAGATTACCCTAGCTTCAGTTTTTAATTTGGCTAACCACCATGCAGAGAGCACCTAGTCAGCTTTGTTCTGTATTCACTGGATCCTTCTCTTGCTCTTTTCACCGTCTCCCGTTGCTGCTGCGGCTGCAGCCACTTATTGATTAGATGAGCCCTTAGATATCCCACACTCATCTGATGGGAGGAAAAAAGACAGGTGTTCAAATGGAAAGTTCTGCAGTCGGCTTTGTAAATAATTAATGTTATCAGCTAATTAAGTTAAGTGAGTTTTTCCATTCAGTGGCGTCTTTTCACTGGACGTTAGGTCATTGCTTTAGCTTTGCTGCCCTCTTGTGGACAATAGTTTAACTGCAACTGTAGTATTCTTTCTAACCAGAAGCCTTAGACTGTTTCTTTTAGGTTTATTGTCAGTCTAGTTAATTTTGGGATGATGTGCAAAAGCTATCAATTTTGCATAATGCTGCTTTAGTTTGTTTGTGGCTCCTAAGTTCCACATCGTGTAAAGAATCTTTTCTAAAATCCCAGAGGACAGCTATGAACCTTCTGTTCTTCTCTCGTTTTTCCTCAAGGCCATCTGCACAGAGGCAGGCCTCATGGCGCTGAGAGAGCGCCGCATGAAAGTCACCAACGAAGACTTCAAAAAGTCCAAGGAGAACGTCCTGTACAAGAAGCAGGAGGGCACACCGGAGGGCCTTTACCTTTAACGCCCAGAGCTTGTTATCGTTTTCGTTCCTCCCACACCAACCCTTCCTTCTCCATTTATCAGGGTGAGGAACAGCGACATCAGCTTTTGTGCACGTCATGTTTTGCTCCATCCCACTCCCCTGTTATTGTTATTTGTTAAAACAGTTAATAAAAGTGATAAATAGAAACCATGCTTTGGGTGTTAGTCATCACTTTTAACAGCTTTATTCACAGGATCGCTTAAGCTTGCGGCGCCATCTGGTTACGTTTACTTCCTGCAGGAGTTTTGCTGATAGAGGACCGCATCATTTTAGAAAGGAGTTAGGTTTTCCACTTTTGGCACATTATAACCACAAAACTCAATTATTTTATTGGACCCATTGTGATAAACATGATATACTGTAAGATGAAAGAAGAATATTTTGTCTCAGTTTTAACTTAAAGAATACATTTTTCAGCCTCTCTGAGCAGCGACTAGGCTAAGCTGAGATTGGATAAAGACCATTAAGCATTAGTTTTAAAGGCTTGCCATAGCCTCTGCCATGTTTCCGTCTGTAATGCCCCAAAAGTACCAACATCCATCTTCTTATGGACTCCGTTAAACGTACCTTCTGCAGAACTACTTCCTGAAAATGGTTGTTCTGGATCTTATTTTGAAAAACGTTTTTTGTGATCTTAACAGAGTTACAAATGTTTGTGGTTCCATCTTAACAATGCTGAAATGGGTGTGAATACTTTTGGAGTCCATAGAAATGTCTGTTTGGAATGTTTGACACAATAAAAGGAATCCAAAGAGTCAAGAATAGAACTGCTGCTGCTGCCTCAACAGAAAATATCTCTCATATTATTTCATATTATAGCCATAAACTTGATGACAGCCGAGCTGCAGATCATTAAACACCCTCCACTGCCGGGTTTTATCCAAAGATTACCTTCAGGAGCTGCATTTTGTCAAAAGCATTAATGCCTCTCTTTAAACTTTACAGGGGCTGCTTATCAGAAAGAGGAAATAAGGTTTTGGTCGATGTCTCCAATTTATGCGTACTATTATAAACAAGTCAGCAGATGAGTGCTTCAATTCAGTAACACCAACTAAGCCGATGTTGCTGCAGTCTGACACGCGGAGAGCTGCTCGTTGATTTAATTCCTCATGATGTGGAACCATGTGGAACTCAGTGCTCAGCAGAAAGTGGCCCCATGCAGCAAGCGTTGGGCCAAGTTGCAGGGCTGGGGTAGAGGAAGGAAGGAGCTGCTGCTGCTGCTGCACTGCAGGCCCCTCACTGGAAAGAAAACAACAAAAATACTTTTTCTCCTAATAAGTCAGTCATGCATTTCAAATCCTAAACAATGAAATGAGTGGTAGCTGCTGCCAGTGATTTACATGAATGCGTTTGGTGTTAGTCCTGATGGCTCCAGGCAGATTCTGGTTAAGTGTTTATTAAATCAAGTTCCTTCCGGATTAGTTCACAAATAAGTCTTTATTTGAATGAATTAGTATAAACAAAATATCTATTATTTGCATCACAAATTGTACGGCAGGCTTTGGCATCAAGGTTCACCAAAGAAGAGGATTTCCCATCAGCCTTTTTAAATGCAGGTAAAATCCTGAGTAACGATGTGATTAAACTAAGGATTTAATTGAATCAACCATATGTAGGTAAATACTTCTGGGAATTGATGAATATGTAAAGATAAAATATTAATAGGCTTTACGCCTCCAAATGCTGCAAGAAAAATATGTTTTTTGGGTGGGGGTACATGTCCTGATTAGTTTCAAGCATATTAACAAGGAGGGAAGCCTTAATCTGAGGTGGAGGGAACATGGGATGCAGCAGCTGATAAAAGGGTGTTTGCACAAATAAAAAATAAAATCATGCATTTGTATTAAGCTCTTTTTATTCAGGTACTAAATAAAAGTCATTCAGAACTCCTAAATGAAGTCCTGATGAGAGGAATGAATCTGTTAAATTTAGCTTTGGAGATGGTTGTTAGAGGTATGAGCGGTTCTACAAGGGGACCAACAGGGGCCAATGCCCCTTTAGAACTAGTCCTGGCCCCTGAACTGAAAACAAACTGCATAAATCTAAATATAAATTCACTTTTCTTTAAATAGATTTATATTACTTTGATTTGAGAAGGTAGGTGAGACAATTTGCAGATAGAATAAGATCATTTATGCTTAAAAAAACAAACAACTACCGTCTTATAAGTGCATAGTAAAAGGCCAAAATCATCTTTTATATAATTTTAGTTACCTGCTCAAATTTAGGGTAAATACACAGATTTTTAAGAACTTTTAACTTTTTGAGATCAGTTTCTGTGGTGTTACGTTAAAATGTTTCCTTATAAGTTGACAAAAGAGCATAGGATTTGTCCATTAAACCAATTTAATCATTCGTCTTTACTATTTACTACAATAGCTATTTAGAAATTACAGGGTTTTATGCTAAAAAAAAAAAGCACTCTTGTCCTTTTTTTGTTTTCTTTTTTTGACCCCATGAAAAACAGCCACCCAGCAGTAAATTTCATCTAGAAACATCCACTGGTTAGAGCAGTGTTTCCTAACCTTTTTTGACTTGTGTATTCCTTTGGGCAATTTGTCTTACCATGAATACCCCTCTGTCAAAAGCATTCATGCTGGTCCAAAAGTGGAACGTACAATAACTGATTATAAAACAAAAACTATTTTACTTCATCTTTTAATTTGAGCATTTATTTCTTAAGCGTATTCTTTCCATCAAAAAAAAAATAAATAAATAAACCTGTATTTATAAAACAGCTGATAGCAGGCTGTTCTTTACTTCCAGGACGTTCCTCTGACTCGTTTTGATGAACTCAGACATACAAGAAAAACTTAGTTTTTGGTTTATGAAACCTTGTTTAATTTTTCAGTAAGGCCCTCACAAAGCAAAACCGCTCCAAGCCCTATTTTATTTTACTACCTAAAAAAATAAAGTATCTTCATGTACTTCCGAAAAAGTCTAAAAAAACAATCCACTGGACTTGGTTTCCAATATTTGAAGACGTTTCGCTACCTCTCCAGGAAGCTTTCTCATGTACCTCTTGCAATGCACTCGCGGACCACTGAGGGGTCGTGTACCCTCGGTTGGGAATCACTGGGTTAGAGGACAAATGTATCATGATAGGTCAGAAATAATCTGGTGAAGTTTAAAGTAGTGCAAGTTAAAAAATAATCAAACAAATATATTAAAAAAAAAAAAACCTAACCCAAGCCTAGATTGTGAAATCTAAAAGTATAACTGAAACTTGAAAAAGGACAACTGCAAATATACCAAGAAATGGCCGTTCTAGAGGCCTGTGGTAACTCTGGAGGAGCTGCAGAAACCCAAAGCTCAGGTGGGAGGACCCGTCAACAAGAAAATGATGAATAGTCCACTACAACACTTTGAGTTTTATGAAATAATAGGAGCAAAAAAAAAAAGCTTTTGATAACAGAAAAGTATGTGGAATCCTAGTTTATCACTATAGGATAGATTTAGAAGAAGGTTCTCAATTCTGATGAGACAAAAAACATAAGTTTATAGCCTGCATACAGACTTAGACAGATTTATTTGTCCTTTTGTTTACACAAGTGTAAAACAAAAAGAAATTTTGTTTGGAACAGCTCTCTGGACAATTTTATCATTTTTCTAAAGTGCAGCTTTGAAAAAAAATATATACAGGTGCTGGTCATAAAATTAGAATATCATGAAAAAGTAGATTGATTTCAGTAATTCCATTTAAAAAGTGAAACTTGTATATTATATTCATACATTACATACAAACTCATATATTTCAGATGTTTATTTTGTTTAATTTTGATGATTACAAATGACAACAAATGAAAATCTCAAATTCATCATATCAGAAAATTAGAATATTACTGAAGACCAATAAAAACAAAGGATTTATAGAAATGTTGGCCAACTGAAAAGTATGAACATGAAAAGTATGAGCATGTACAGCACTCAGTATTTAGTTGGGCCTCCTTTGGCCTGTATTACTGCAGCAATGCGGCGTGGCATGGAGTCGATCAGTCTGTGGCACTGCTCAGGTGTTATGATAGCCCAGGTTGCTCTAATAGTGGCTTTTAGCTCTTCTGAATTGTTGGGTCTGGTGTATTGCATCTTCTTCTTCACAATACCCCATAGATTTTCTATGGGGTTAAGGTCAGGAGAGTTTGCTGGCCAATTAAGAACAGGGATACCATGGTCCTTCAACCAGGTACTGGTAGCTTTGGCACTGTGTGCAGGTGCCAAGTCCTGTTGGAAAATGAAATCTGCATCTCCAAAAAGTTGGTCAGCTGCAGGAAGCATGAAGTGCTCTAAAACTTCCTGGTATGTGGCTGCGTTGACCCTGGACCTCAGAAAACACAATGGACCAACACCAGCAGATGAAATGGCACCCCAAACCATCACTGACTGTGGAAACTTTACACTGGACTTCAAGCAACGTGGATGAAGTGCCTCTCTTCTTTTCCTCCAGACTCTGGGACCTTGATTTCCAAAGGAAATGCAAAATTTACTTTCATCAGAGAACATGACTTTGGACCACTCACCAGCAGTCCAGTCCTGTTTCTCTTTAGCCCAGGCAAGACGCTTCTGACGCTGTCTGTGGTTCAAGAGTGGCTTGACACAAGGAATGCGACAGCAGAAACCCATGTCTTTCATACGTCTGTGTGTGGTGGTTCTTGAAGCACTCACTCCAGCTGCAGTCCACTCTTTGTGAATCTCCCCCACATTTTTGAAGGGGTTTTGTTTCACAATCCTCTCCAGGGTGCGGTTATCTCTCTTGCTTGTACACTTTTTTCGACCACATCTTTTCCTTCCCTTCGCCTCTCTATTAATGTGCTTGGACACTGAGCTCTGTGAACAGCCAGCCTCTTTAGCGATGACCTTTTGTGTCTTGCCCTCCTTGTGCAAGGTGTCGATGGTCGTCTTTTGGACAACTGTCAAGTCAGCAGTCTTCCCCATGACTGTGTAGCCTATAGAACTAGACTGAAAGACCATTTAAAGGCTTTTGCAGGTGGTTTGAGTTAATTAGCTGATTAGAGTGTGGCACCAGGGGCCATCAATTTTGAACCTTTTCACAATATTCTAATTTTCTGATATGATGAATTTGAGATTTTCATTTGTTGTCATTTGTAATCATCAAAATTAAACAAAATAAACATCTGAAATATATGAGTTTGT